CAAACTTGGGAACCAAGCTGGAGTTATCAGTGTGGCCCTATCACCTGGACATGTTGAAATACTGTATCTTCACGCCTAGAATAAAAACCTCCAGGTTTCCGTCATAACTGTCAATTTATACAAAATTAAATAATAATTACAGGGGGCAGTTTGGAAAAAAGTCATCCTGTCCGAATCGTCCTCTGGAATAATGGACATTCTGGAGTAATAATGACATAATCAACGTTCTCTAGTAATACTAGTCCCGTGCGAATAGGTCTTTGGTCACGTGCATGTGATGCATACATGTGTACCGTAAAGAGAACAAGGGTTGAGGGAATAGGGAATGTTTTTCCTAAACAAATTAGGGATTTCTGTAAGATAACTTCAGATAAACACTTTGATGTTCTGTGGCGGTCGCTGCAGCAGGGAGGAGAGAGAGACAATGGGTGCTAGTCACACAGTCACTCGCTGTCTTTTTTTTTTTTTTAACACAGCACAGCAAGTCTGAGCCCGGTCCAGCACAATCAAATCAATTGCTGGTCGGACTCCCTCTAGTCATTTTTTATTTAATCAACCAGTGTGCTTAATGCATCAGACAAGTTCAGTGAATATAGTTGATTTGATTAAAACACATAGGATGTGTCAATATATGGAAAAATACACGTTTTAAAATCGATTGGTCGAAAGAACAGACAACTCTTTGTCGACTAATATATTTTTTGGTCAGGGACAGCCCTAATTTCTGCACAATGGCACTTATTAAAGCCCTAAATCTCATAGGGACCTCGCTGTCACCACTGCTCTAGCTAGCCACGTAGCCAGCAGGGTTGCATCGGTTTCCATTGAACTAGGGCTAGCTAGGCTAGCAAGCTAGGTAGCTAACCCTAGCTAGTGCAAGCTGATTATCATGTAGCAGCCTATGCTGACTAGCGTCATTAGCATGCTAACGTTTGCTAGCTAGCTAATGTCGATACACCCCCATAGTCTTGGGTCCTCAAAATCAAGTAAAAGGTACTGAAATCATAACACAATCATGTTTTGACATTGTAGTGGCTATTGATGCTTATTCTTTTAGTGTTTTGCTTAGTGACTTTGCAAATCTCATATTTTTGGCATTTAACTCTGATTTAATTACCAGTATCTAATCCGGTTTCGGCATGAGAAAATGACTGAAGTCCCAAATTCCCGCGAGATACTGCGAGAATTTGCGCACTCACAGATGCGGAGCCTCGGAAATAAAAGATCCAGTCACAGGTTAGGAGGTGATGATGCCTTATACAATTTCTCTAAATGTTTTCCAAGATAAAACGAAAACACCTGAAAGCATGTCCTTCGAGTTGACCAAGTACATAGTCTATCTCAATGCTTTGCATCTTTGTACCCGCTCCTCTACAGTCGTTCATCCCTGATGCATAAGTGGCATTGAGACATGCTATATTTTCAAAAGATTTTACATGATACTTAGCAAACAAACTTCCAGTTGGACATTAAACATTGTGATTAGAGGTGACTGCTTAATGACACACTCAGAATATATAAAACCATATGTAGGTCATTTTGACTAAAGGCTTTATGAATGCTATTATCACCATTCTAAGTAAGGTGTTACCCAAAGTTTTGCTGTTGCTTTAACAACAGAGCAGAAGGCAGGCATCTCTTCCTACCTTGCTGTGTCTGAGTGAAATAGATGATGTCTGTTATTAGATATGCGGATTAGCTTTGGTTTGGATATCTTTAGTCCCAGCGTCGAGTCACTTTGCATGTTCTCTTCCCACAGAACAGGAAAGCATGCCAGTTATCATGTCATGAAAGATAAAGCCTGAGTCTTACTAGATGAAAGGATCAAGAGAAACAATACGAGAGGGGGGCCTTTAGAGAGTACGCACCACAAAATACATAGACAAAATGGTGCATTTGAGCTATTTCAACAAAGCATGTCTTTCAGTTGTTACCAACATTATATTATCTGTGTATCATACAGCTCTTGCCAGTTAAATATGATTTATTTAGACAGTTAATTACCTTACTGTGTGTGCGTGCGTGCATTTGTGCACAGTGTGTGCATACTTGTTTGAATGTGTGCGTGCATTTTGCTGTGTTTATATTTTCATTTACAGTACAGTATTGCATTGGCATTCATACAGTATGATTTCAAAGATGCCTTCAAAATTAAATAATCCAACTGAGATGTCTTTATCATTACCAGTTAATGTACTGGGTTCCAACAGCCACCCAGACAACTTGTCTATTGCACCTGCCATCTCTCCACCCGACCAATGCATCTTCATGTGTCAGCAAGCTAACAGGAAAGACACCTCTATAAATCCTCCTACACTTTTAAAACTGTCATCTTCCTCAGCATAGATGCATTTTAATTCCTAAAAACAAGACCAATATTCTCCACACATATAGTGATGTTCTGAGATTTTGATTATTGGCTGAGCTCACTGATGTCTTGATGTCTAAGTATATGTTGTCAGGAGTTTGCTTGTTTCTGCTGAGACATTCTCAGATTGTTTTAAATGCTCTGTTGTTGGAAATAGAAGAAAACAAGTCAAATCAATGAGCAGCCTGAACAGCCTTTATCCTAAGGGTTTCTATTTGACAGTAATTAATGTTCGGCAGTGGCAAATCTATCTTTTCAGCAATTAAAACTTTCTCTGTTTTTTAAGCTTATTATTTTCTATCTGTCACTTATTCCATTGAATGTCTATCAAGTATTAAATTGCCAGTCTTTTGTTCCGGTCTGTAAAGAGAATGGTGTTACACAGAGAACATCAGAACAATAGAATGAACGCTAGCTAGGGACATAAGAAGTTGGCCCTCTCTCAGAACTGCTGTCAGTCATTTTATATTCCAAGTAGACAAGTGTTTCAAGAATGGAACACATGTCTCCGTTGTTCTAAGTCCCACAAAGTAATTTTAGAATGCTTTGCTTGCAATAGACTAGCGTTTGCAGAGAAGCACGAGATTGAACTTCACTCAACTTTATAGAGTTTTCTCCATTAGTTAACACTATACATTTCCCTTTACTGTGGGAATTGAGATCGAATCGATGCAATATTAGTCACTTTCAATGCAACATACCGAAACAAAATGAACTGTGTAAGAGATTTTGTTGTAGGCAGAATGCATCGGAGTAGGATTCTATTGCATTGACAGGCACGACTCAGGCCCGTACTCTACACAGACCAGTGCGCCATAACCAATCAGAGCTGCAGTAGGCCTAAATGCAAATAGACCATTGCCATATATGAATATGTGCCATTCACTTTGAACTGGACTGTTTTTACAGCATGAGCGGTCCTGAGTAGATGCACTTGTTTTGAGATCAAAGCGAGAGCGACATGTAGCGACACGTGCACATTTGTACATTTGTTCATATCCTTTGTTAGTTATTGTTATTAGCCCAGTTATAGATCATTTGTAGTCAGCATTGGGGGAGTGATTGCTTCCTACAAGATCACAAAACGTGTGCATTTTCTAGACATCTTTGAAAAGCGAGTCAGGTAAAGATATTTTTTTTTGTCTTAAAGCGGCAGTATTGTATTTTGCAACAGGCTTGAATAAGCCAAATAGACAATAGCATAATTTGTCTGCTTTTCTGTAATAATGGTATGGGAAAATGATGCATTTCATTTTGTAAAGTGGTATCTTGAATCAAACAACACAACAACATTTTCAGTCACCTCCTTGTTTGAAGGATAAATGGATAAACAGGTTAATGTCAAGCCCTGCATGTTTCTTTCAGAAGTCTCATGGAATGCAGGCCTACATTGAACACCACACATTGGCTGCTACTGTAGGCTGAACGATAGAACAGCTATTTCCATGTTAAAATGTTATGGGATGCATTTTCTCCATTGTTTTCTATGGTAGGCCACTCTGGTAGGCCTACATTATGATCAAATAGCCACAGTATAGTAGCGGGTACAGCCTCAGTGTTCACAGTAAATGCGCGCCAGAAGTTGCACATCATTTTTTACAACACTCAAGTTTGTGCTCAGCAGACCTAAAATTTGCTCAGTGATGAAAACAATTAGAGGGAACTTTGGTTCTGCCCTGTCCAGGGGGTGTACTTTTACATCAAGCTGCCTCACGCTACAGAAACAAGAGATAGGCCGTTCTGCCTCGGACATGGCTACTTACTTGCTTGCATCTAGTATCTGTATTGTACTGTGAGGCTTACCTTAATGTTCATAGCACAGTATTGCACGGTTTAGGTTAAGAGTACAGAGTAAATATATTAAATGAGCACATCTGTTTACATATAGATCGCTACATAGATAGGCAGGTGTTCACTCCCATCATTTCGAGTCTTCATGAGAAAGATTCACAGTGTCTTTTATTTATTTTTGCTTTGATTGTCTCATTGTGTTGTGTATTATAGAGTCTTTACAAGATATGAAGGCTAAGAAAGTTTCTGTAATGCTTTAAAAATTGCTTTTACAAAAAACTTTTCTGGACTGTCATCCATTGTCATCCTTGACAGCTAAAATAAACGTAGGGTTCTCTGCTTCAATAATAATTTAGCCCTATTGTGTACAGCGAAGTACTTCAATAATACTTTAGCCCAATTGTGTGCAGCACAGAACGCCGATTAAATCTGCAAATGGAAAAGTACTATACAGAGAGCCTTTTTTTCATCCACTTAATTTCCATAATTTTTCTAAGATTCTAAGTCTGTCTATAGAGAGCACATCTACTTCTGTCATACAAAAAAAAATTGAGTTAGCAGCTACATGAGAGGCTGTCTTCCCACACATTTTGTATATCTGTGTGGCATTTCCTAGATACTGACTGTACTGTTGCGCAACACCTAATGATCCCTGCCGTGAGCTCAGGACTGTCAAACTCCTCCACTGATGGGGAAAGAAGGGCTTTGAGGAGCAAGTAGAAAATCAAAAACCAATTTACATGTGTTCCCTCTCTCTCTCTCTCTCTCTCTCTCTCTCTCTCTCTCTCTCTCTCTCTCTCTCTCTCTCTCTCTCTCTCTCTCTCTCTCTCTCTCTCCACAGAGCTGCTGTCAGCCTGCCATGAGCTGCGTTGCCGCTATGGCTGCGTCATGACGAGAAATGGAACCTTCTGTTTCTGCGCTGACGGCTTTGAGGTCGGCGAGGACGGTACAAGCTGCAGAGGTAGGCATCGTTAACGCTGTCGGGTGGGACTCCAGCCCGGGCAGCGGGCTGCCTCTCTCCTCTCTCTCTCGTCTCTTCTCTTCTCTTTCCCTCTCTCTCTCTCTCTCTCTCTCTCTCTCCTCTCCTGTGTCCTTCACCCTAGGCCAAACTTATCAAATTAACTGAATAGGCAGGAGGCCTGTTGGAAATTAGAACCATCTGTCTGGAGGCAGGGTTGTTCTCCCCTGACCCCGTCAATAGCAGCCAAGTCCAGTCTGACAGCTGCTGGGACATACTGTGACATGAGACTTCTATCAAAGGTCAGGGGTTAGAGGGATCTTTGGTGGGGTTTAGACTCAGTTCTGTACCCAAGGTATGGTTCAAATTATGTACAGTAACTCTGCTTCATAACATACAGTAAAATACATAACAGTACACTACAATAAAGCACCATGATTATTTTCACACTACAGGATCCAATGACTTTCCAACGTAGGTTACTTGGTTGTGTGGTAATCATTTCTAAGGTGGTACAGTGAGGGCCACATTAAGTATGCTTTATGTATTTGGGTCATGTTTGAGCAAACCTAATTTGTTACAAATGGTTCCCCCACTCTCCCCAGATCATGATGAATGTGCTGTGTACGGAGCATGTAGCCAAACCTGCCTTAACACCTACGGGTCATATAGATGCAGCTGTACAGAAGGATACATCCTACATAATGACAGAACGTCCTGCACAGCCAAACAAGGTGAGACTAACAACACTGTATTATAAAACAACATAATCTGCATATATGCCATATAGTCTTTATTTCTATGAATAACTTAGAAGATAGAAGGTACAATGTTCTATGTTCAACCATCCTGGAGGCTTGGGTATAGGAATAGGCCTAGTTCCTCTTAACCTTGTTTTTCAGTGTTGGGTAGCTTCAGTATAGGAACGATTAATTTGTTCCACCACTGACCACATCTATCTTCCACCAGGGAATGGGAATGCGGTAGTAGACATGGGCAGGTTAGGATAATGACGGAATTAATGATCCCGAGATTTTAACTGGGAGCCATCTCAACACCCTGGGAGTGTTTTGTGGTGAGACAATACCCGGGGTTGCCTTGATTTATGTTATGGTCCGATAGCTGGCAACATGTTGTTGCTGGAGAATAAAATAACTCACTTTATTTGTTTGGTGTAATACAATATGCAGTAGTGTTCCAGTCTACACAGACAAACATTTATCCTTGTGCCATGTACTGTCTTTCTGTATCGTCCATTGTAATGTATGAGACATTTTTAGGCTGTGGTGATGATACATACTCTACTGTGTGAAAATAGCCTAAAGCAAAGCAGCACACCTAGCTAGGGAGAGTCACACTGTTGCGGCTTTTAATCAATGTGACTGGTTTCCTACCAGGAATAAACTGAATATGATTACCCATAAACTTAACTGAACCCAATGCTCACACACGTTAATATTAATTTAGCAGAGAAAGATTTCAGTCCAGGGTTAACTATGGGGTTACCGTTAGTTGTAAAAGCTCATGAATATAAATGTCAGGAGCATATTCTCTCAGAGGCCATGAGATGGTAAGCAGTAGAGGATAAAAAACCCATTAAGACAGGGTTCCCCAACTGGCGGCCCGTGGGTTTTAGTTGGCCCCCCAAGTTTTCTGAGCAAAAAATAAATATATATTTTAAAATATATAAACATTAAAACACCAGGAAATCAGCTCCAAGTGGTTTTAATTTTGGAAATATTTTCCCAAGTATTCCCATGCATAATAGAGACTTGATCATATACAAATGTAAGCAAGGTTTGAAATTATTATGTTTTAGTCAAATATATCTGTTTGGGCTTCTTTTGGTCAATCTGCAGTCTACAAATTATTTGTAATTATGTTCCGGCCCCCCAAACATCCACTCAAGAAAGAATCGGCCTGCGGCTGAATCTAGTTAATGATCCCTAGTTCAAGTTTTTTAAATATACAGCAGAAACTAGTTTTTTCTTCTTCCACATTTGAATCATTCAGTTTTCATCAGAATGTTACAAGGTTATGATTATATAATACAATACTTTCCCCTTGCACTCTCCAAAAACCACCAGGTCCAACATTCTGTGACATTTTCCATTGACCTGATTACATTTTCATGAATCAAAAACATATTCCTGTCTCTCTCAAACTCTTTTAGGTAATTGCAATTTTAGAAATTATGTTGATGGTACAGTGAGGGAAAAAAGTATTTGATCCCCTGCTGATTTTGTACGTTTGCCCACTGACAAAGACATGATCAGTCTATAATTTTAATGGTAGGTTTATTTGAACAGTGAGAGACAGAATAACAACAACAAAATCCAGAAAAATGCATGTCAAAAATGTTATAAATTGATTCGCATTTTAATGAGGGAAATAAGTATTTGACCCCTCTGCAAAACATGACTTAGTACGTGGTGGCAAAACCCTTGTTGGCAATCACAGAGATCAGACGTTTCTTGTAGTTGGCCACCAGGTTTGCACACATCTCAGGAGGGATTTTGTCCCACTCCTCTTTGCAGATCTTCTCCAAGTCATTAAGGTTTTGAGGCTGTCGTTTGGCAACTCGAACCTTCAGCTCCCTCCACAGATTTTCTATGGAATTAAGGTCTGGAGACTGGCTAGGCCAATCCAGGATCTTAATGTGCTTCTTCTTGAGCCACTCCTTAGTTGCCTTGGCCGTGTGTTTTGGGTCATTGTCATGCTGGAATACCCATCCACGACCCATTTTCAATGCCCTGGGTGAGGGAAGGAGGTTCTCACCCAAGATTTGACGGTACATGGCGCCGTCCATCGTCCCTTTGATGCGGTGAAGTTGTCCTGTCCCCTTAGCAGAAAAACACCCCCAAAGCATAATGTTTCCACCTCCATGTTTGACGGTGGGGGTGGTGTTCTTGGGGTCATAGGCAGCATTCCTCCTCCTCCAAACACGGCGAGTTGAGGCCAAAGAGCTCGATTTTGGTCTCATCTGACCACAACACTGTCACCCAGTTCTCCTCTGAATCATTCAGATGTACATTGGCAAACTTCAGACGTGCCTGTATATGTGCTTTCTTGAGCAGGGGGACCTTGCGGGCGCTGCAGGATTTCAGTCCTTCACGGCGTAGTGTGTTACCAATTGTTTTCTTGGTGACTATGGTCCCAGCTGCCTTGAGATCATTGACAAGATCCTCCCGTGTAGTTCTGGGCAGATTCCTCACCGTTCTCATGATCATTGCAACTCCACGAGGTGAGATCTTGCATGGAGCCCCAGGCCGAGGGAGATTGACAGTTATTTTGTGTTTCTTCCATTCTTCCGAATAATCGCACCAACTGTTGTCACCTTCTCACCAAGCTGCTTGGCGATGGTCTTGTAGCCCATTCCAGCCTTGTGTAGGTCTACAATCTTGTCCCTGACATCCTTGGAGAGCTCTTTTGTCTTGGCCATGGTGGAGAGTTTGGAATCTGATTGATTGATTGCTTCTGTGGACAGGTGTCTATTATACAGGTAACAAGCTGAGATTAGGAGCACTCCCTTTAAGAGTGTGCTCCTAATCTCAGCTCGTTACCTGTATAAAAGACACCTGGGAGGCAGAAATCTTTCTGATTGAGAGGGGGTCAAATACTTATTTCCCTCATTAAAATGCAAATCAATTTATAACATTTTTGACATGCGTTTTTCTGGATTTTTTTGTGGTTATTCTGTCTCTCACTGTTCAAATACACCTACCATTAAAATTATAGACTGATCATTTCTTTGTCAGTGGGCAAACGTACAAAATCAACAGGGGATCAAATACTTTTTTCCCTCACTGTAGATGGCGATGTTTTTCATGCAGGACTTGTTTGATACTTGTTGTACAGTATAGAAATGTAGAGTTCGTATTTTGTTGAATGAAAGCAACAGTTTTGCATTTAAGAGAACAATGTCTTTATCAGAGAGCTTGACTGTGCCACAAATGGCACCCTATTCTCATATGGGCCCTGGTCAAAAGTAGCGCGTTACATAGGGAATAGAGCGCCATTCTGGATGCAGACAATGTGCTTCCATGAGAGAACCAAAGCCCCATCCATGCTACAGTGGTATCTCACGGAGTTATAGTCAGCTCCTAAAGGTTGGCTTAGAGGGATCAGGGTAAAGATAAGTGTTTTTCACAGTGGACACACTGATGTATTGCCCATATTAGGAGAGCCAGCCCTGACTTGAACTTGTGTGGGGGATCGGGATAAAGCAGGGCTTTTTGGGGTGAGCTCAGTGGCAGAGAAAGTACATGGTCAATTAGGCCTCAGACGTGGGTTGTGTTAGCTTAGCAGTCACTAGGTTAAATCTCCCTTCTGACGCAAAGCTGACGAAAGAGAATGGACTGTGGAACAACAATTTTTGTTCATCATCCTCCACTTTTCCTTGGAAAACAAAGTTTGTTTCATGTAAAAATGTAATTTAGATATACTTTCCCAGCTCATCTACGATAATGATGGACAGATGGGTGTATTGGGTGGAGGAGGAGATAACAGCTGTAGAGAACATTGTAATTGCATTTTTTTTATTGAATCTTATGTAGCTTTGATGTGTTGCTGGTTCTTTAAGGATATTGTTCTGTTCAGTTATAAATTACAGAAATTAACTGAAGAAAATCCATGTTTTGTTTAATATATCTTCCACATTGGAGTCCTCCTGGGTTGATACAGGCCTTTTACATTCTATGTGAAGAATTTCCACCATGTTGTTTTTTTCCCCCACTATTTCTTCTTTTTGTGTTCCAGACCCTGGCGACAGTCCTCCAGCTCTGCTGATTGGAAGGTCAGATCACATAGCAACCACAAGACTAAACGGATCTAATCTACAGACTTTGAGACTGTTGGATAAACATGGATCCCTTTCATTGGATTACTATTACCAGGAAGAGGAAGTGTGTTGGCTTATATCCTCAGACTCCACTGGAAGGCTACGCTGTGCTAAGATGAAGAATATGAATGGATTTACAATGGAAAAGGATATCAAAACAGTACAAAGTTTACAAAGTACGTCTTGCAGTGTGTCAGATTGTCAAGGAAATTATCTCGCTTACAATGTTTGGCAACTATTAATTTATCAAGCACACGCAGACATGCCCCTTCAGAAAGCCTTAAAACGCTCCGTCTCACTCTTTTTCTACCTCTGCCTCCCTCTATGCCTCTATTTTTCCCACTTACTTGCACAATGTACACTTGTAAAAAGGATTCCAAAAGGGTTCTTCGGCTGTCCCCATAAGAGAATCCTTTTTGGTTCCAGATAGAACCCTTTTTGGTAGAACTCTTTTGGGTTCCATGTATAACCTTTTTTACAGAGGGTTCTACATGGAACACAAAAGGGTTCTACCTGGAACCAAAAAGGTTCTACCTGGATCCAAAAAGGGTTCTTCAAATGGTTCTCCTATGTGGTCAGCCGAAGAACTCTTTTAGGTTCTAGATAGGAACTGCTTACCCAATGAACTTCCCATGGTCACTTTCTACTTCAGGGTCATTGTAGTGCTGTTAACAATTAGGTTTGGAATGCTTTAGACTCCTATATTTAAGACAACCTAGCTATTCTATCCTGTTTATTCAAGAATTTAAGGAATGCTGCTCACCCTCAGTATTCCATCAATGTCAGATTCCTAACTTACTACACATACCTTACATTCAGTTATGTGCCTGTACCTTTAGTGAATGTACATGAGACAATGTTATCTAACATAATGGAAGATTAACAGGTTTATCCTCACAATATCTAATTTGATACAAATATATTTAATCAAAGAAAGGTTTAATGTCAAGAATTTAATGACATTCTTTGTTTTTCTCCATAGATGTAGAGCACATGACCATCGATTGGCTCACTGGCAACTTCTACTTTGTGGACCGTGTAAGCGACAGGATATTTGTTTGCAATCGTGTTGGGGACACCTGCGTCACCATTATAGATTTAGATCTGACCAATCCTAAAGGAATCGCTGTGGATCCACTTATGGGGTGAGTTAGCTTTATACACTTTTTTTGACTTTGACTGACAATTACAAGTGCAACCTATAGTATCCCTAACTTCCATTGGATCCATCTATTGTCACTGATCTTGTCACATACCCATTGTATGCATTTTTGAGTGTCCATTTTAAATGACATAGAAACCAGTTGGCTGTTATTCAATCAACTGCATATAGTGGTTTTCCAGATAGCACTTCCAGAAGTGTGTTTCTTTTCCACTGTAGCGCATCACAGATCGGGGTAGTAAACACTTAAAAACTGGCAGTTCTGAAAAAGCATTCCAGAAACCCACTACAGTATCTTCAATTGATTGAATGAAAGCCTTTCTCAAAATGTTAAGGCTTTAAAACCTGTAGCCTACCATACCGTATAACAATATGCATGATTGCCTGTCCTTACGCCATGCAGATATTTGCTTTACTTTCGGAGCATGTCTAGTGGTGTAATTTGCTGGGGAGCCAGTGCTCCAGACAGCTCCCACTGTCACTAGATTGTATTAGTATTCACTGATTTCCCCTCACATCCCCCAGTATAAAACTCCCCTGCAGGACCCTCTCTCTGTTTGAGCATTTTTGTTTCTGTCACCACCACAAAGTACCCAAGCCACTGTGGGGGAAACTAAATGGATCTCTGAAACTCTTGCTTCAAACTGTAAATCCTGAAATGTATGGAGGAGGGAGAGAAGAAGTGAAGAGTGAAGCAATACAAAGAGTCCTCCAAGGAGAGAATGGAGGCCTGATTATGGAGTTTTCAGCAGCTAAAAGGGCTTCTGTTCTGTTGTAATATTCCCATGGAGAAGGAACCCAGGAGCTCAACAGAGAGAGTCAGCCCCATTATATTCATGAGGGTACAAGGACAGGCAATGGGCATGCATTCAGAGCAGCTTTTTAATGAGAAGCCTTTCTCTGAGAGATGCTGTATCTTAGCACCAGGGCTCTTAGCAGAGCAAAGACCATTCACAATGCAAACAATATCAGAATGAGAGCGTCGGAGCTTCTCATCTCGATGTGTGTTACTTGGCGGTTATATACGAGCCTCAATTATACCTGTCCCCTTAAAGCTAATATGTACTCTGAACTAATTTGATGGATAAAACATTTACAGTACTTTCCCTCAGCTAACCTCAGCATCTAGATGATTCAACCTAACTTTAGATGCATGCCACTGGTTCTCAGTATAGCTCCTCTATCTCTAAATAATGCAGCGTCTACTCTGCACAGCAAAATGATTCCTGTGAAGTGAAAATGTTTATTGATACAAGGATGTTAGATTGGTTTCTCACATCCTCGCAATGTATTAACCCTCCTCATTCCCCAAAACGTTTCCTTCATATTAGGGCTGGGCATCATGGCCTAAAAATCATATCTCTATATTTTTTAATTTATGGGCGATTCACGATATATATATATATATATATATATATATATATATATATACAGTGGGGGGGAAAAGTATTTAGTCAGCCACCAATTGTGCAAGTTCTCCCACTTAAAAAGATGAGAGAGGCCTGTAATTTTCATCATAGGTACACGTCAACTATGACAGACAAATTGAGAAGAAAAAAATCCAGAAAGTCACATTGTAGGATTTTTAATGAATTTATTTGCAAATTATGGTGGAAAATAAGTATTTGGTCACCTACAAACAAGCAAGATTTCTGGCTCTCACAGACCTGTAACTTCTTATTTAAGAGGCTCCTCTGTCCTCCACTCTCTACCTGTATTAATGGCACCTGATTGAACTTGTTATCAGTATAAAAGACACCTGTCCACAACCTCAAACAGTCACACTCCAAACTCCACTATGGCCAAGACCAAAGAGCTGTCAAAGGACACCAGAAACAAAATTGTAGACCTGCACCAGGCTGGGAAGACTGAATCTGCAATAGGTAAGCAGCTTGGTTTGAAGAAATCAACTGTGGGAGCAATTATTAGGAAATGGAAGACATACAAGACCACTGATAATCTCCCTCGATCTGGGGCTCCACGCAAGATCTCACCCCGTGGGGTCAAAATGATCACAAGAACGGTGAGCAAAAATCCCAGAACCACACGGGGGGACCTAGTGAATGACCTGCAGAGAGCTGGGACCAAAGTAACAAAGCCTACCATCAGTAACACACTACGCCGCCAGGGACTCAAATCCTGCAGTGCAAGACGTGTCCCCCTGCTTAAGCCAGTACATGTCCAGGCCCGTCTGAAGTTTGCTAGAATGCATTTGGATGATCCAGAAGAGGATTGGGAGAATGTCATATGGTCAGATGAAACCAAAATATAACTTTTTGGTAAAAACTCAACTTGTCATGTTTGGAGGACAAAGAATGCTGAGTTGCATCCAAAGAACACCATACCTACTGTGAAGCATGGGGGTGGAAACATCATGCTTTGGGGCTGTTTTTCTGCAAAGGGACCAGGACGACTGATCCGTGTAAAGGAAAGAATGAATGGGGCCATGTATCGTGAGATTTTGAGTGAAAACCTCCTTCCATCAGCAAGGGCATTGAAGATGAAACGTGGCTGGGTCTTTCAGCATGACAATGATCCCAAACACACCGCCCGGGCAACGAAGGAGTGGCTTCGTAAGAAGCATTTCAAGGTCCTGGAGTGGCCTAGCCAGTCTCCAGATCTCAACCCCATAGAAAATCTTTGGAGGGAGTTGAAAGTCTGTGTTGCCCAGCGACAGCCCCAAAACATCACTGCTCTAGAGGCGATCTGCATGGAGGAATGGGCCAAAATACCAGCAACAGTGTGTGAAAACCCTGTGAAGACTTACAGAAAACGTTTGACCTGTGTCATTGCCAACAAAGGTTATATAACAAAGTATTGAGAAACTTTTGTTATTGACCAAATACTTATTTTCCACCATAATTTGCAAATAAATTCATTAAAAATCCTACAATGTGATTTTCTGGAAAAAAAAATCTCATTTTGTCTGTCATAGTTGACGTGTACATATGATGAAAATTACAGGCCTCTCTCATCTTTTTAAGTGGGAGAACTTGCACAATTGGTGGCTGACTAAATACTTTTTTTCCCCACTGTATATATATAGATGTTTTAACGTTTTCTCTAAATAAGCTTTGTTCCACAGTTAAAGGTCAATACACTGTATTTGAAACAGTCAAGAATAATCTAATGAATTCAGGGCATGTAAAATTATACCTAGGCTAAATATAAGCCTTCCACAACAATAAGACCCACTAATAATTGAATTATTTTATCAAAATAGTTTAACCTGCTTTAAAAAGATTATCACTGCAATAATCACTTTCAAGTCTGTCTATGAAAATGCCATTTTTGTTACTAATTTTACCAGAACCATGCACAATGCACATTCACTAATAATGACCAACTTCTTGTAGCAGGCATCATAGAAAATGAACACAGGTCTCATAAACAATCTCTCAAGGACAAGCTCATGTGCTAGTCAATCAATCAATCAAATGTATTTATAGAGCCATTTTACAACAGCAGTTGTCACAAAGTGCTCATACAGAAACGGAGCCTAAAACTCCAGACAGCAAGCAATGCCGATGTAGAGGCACGGTGGCTAGTAAAAACTCCCTAGAAAGGCAGGAACCTAGGAAGAAAGAAATCTAGAGAGGGACCAGACTCTGAGGGGTTGCCAGTCCTTTTTTGGCTGTGCTGGGTGGAGATTATAAGTACAAAGCCATTAAGGCCAGATAGTTCTTCAAGATGTTCAAACGTTCATAGAAGACCAGCAGAGTCAAATAATAATCACAGAGGTCAGCACCTTGGGATTTAATATCAGTTGGCTTTTCATATTTTTTTTTTTTTATTTAACCTTTATTTAACTAGGCAAGTCAGTTAAGATTATTTACAATGACGGCCTACACCGGCCAAACCCGGACAACACTGGGCCAATTGTGCGCCGCCCTATGGGACTCCCAATCACGGCCATTTGTGATACAGCCTGGAATCAAACCAGGGGTCTGTAGTGACGCCTCAAGCACTGAGATGCAGTGCCTTAGACCACTGCGCCACTCAGGAGCCCAAGTGCCGAGCATTTAGAGATCGAGACAGCAGCAGAACAGCAGAAACTGGGTCAGCAGCACGACCAGATAGACTAGGGATGGGGACAGCCAGGAGTCGTCAGTCCAGGTAGTCCTGAGGCATGGTCCTAGGGCTCAGGTCCTCCGAGAGGGGAGAGAGCAGGAGAGATAGGATAATTAGAGGGAGCATATCTAAGATCACACAGGACACCAGATAAGACAGGATAATTACAGCAGATATAACATACTGACCCTAGCCCCCGGTACATAGACTATTGCAGCATAGATACAGGAGACTGAAATGGGGGGTTCGGGGGACACTGTGGCCCCATCCAAATGTACTCCCGGACAGGGACAACCAGGCAGGATATAACCTCACCCACTTTGGCAAAGCACAGCCCCCACACCACTAAAGGGATCAACAGGCCACTAACTTACTACCCTGAGACAAGGCCGAGTAATGAGTAGTCAGGTAACCTTTATTTCAAGTCTAGCCAACTTGGATCTATTTGCTTGTTAACAAGGTAGAACAGTTGACCTTCCTGTCAGTCTCCAACTGTTTGAACAACATATCCTGTTCACTTTGTTTAGATATTGAAATCAAGTGGCCTACCAGGATAAGAAGATGCTTATTTCTCAGAATGAGAACGTGTTGCCAATTCCTTATATAAATGTGTATTTTTATACTCATTGCACGTTTATAAAAACAGACTAGACAGCTAGTATAACAGTCTGTGGCTAAAATGCTGCTAGCGGTACGTGGTACCGCAATGCCGCGCACGACAGACACTGAGCATTAATTTTCCACAACATGTTCATTGATACTCTCCTTTTAAACTGAACAAAATTATAAACGCAACATGCAACAATTTCAAAGATTTTACTTAGTTACAGTTCATATAAGGAAATCAGTCAATTGAAATAAATTCATTAGGCCCTAATCTATGGATTTCACATGACTGGGCCGGGGCGCA